AATGCTGACCTTCTGACTTCAGTAGTCAAGTCATCTGAAACAAGCATGGCAATCATTAGTCCTGACTTTGCAATAATTCACTTGCTGAATGCCCACTTACCCTAGGTTCACATCTGTTCAGGTGGTGCCGCTGCGGATCCGCACAAAAATCCACCCACACAGAGAATTACGGACCCGCAGGCGGGTACCATTAGTTCTAATGGCACGCCACCAGCACTGGGAAATGCAACCGTACTATGAACCGAAGTTCCCATGCAGGCTGCGTTTTCCAAAGAAGTGCAGGGATTTCTTTCCCTGTGTGTCACGGGCACGGGAGTCCATTCAAATAAATGGAATCTTGTGGCCACGCAAAAACGCGGCCCGCACGGCCACAAAGATTTGAGCCAGGGGTCAGTGAGCCGGAAAATTATTGAAGGCAGAGGGTTGGCATGGCATGGGAGCTGTGCAACTGCCATTTCCAAAAGGAGAGGTCAACAATGGCAGTCCATAAATCCTATCTATGACAAGTATTCCCTAATTTGTATAAAAATAAACTCCAGGTCAGTTTTTATATATTGTATTCAATGTTTTTGCAAAATTCATAATGATTCAAATTCAAATGATTCAAATGATTCAAAACTGATGAAAAAAAAGTTGCCAAAGTCTTGAATAACAATTTACGAAATGAAAGAAGGATACTGTTTAACCTCCCTGGCGGTATGATTATTTCAGATTTTTGGTGCTGAAAGCGGTGGTACCATTTTTTTTGCATGGAAATATGTATTTTTTTTATTGTAGGCCTGTAATTTAGGAATAACTCCCTGAAATCTGTCTGAACAAGAGTCTAGTAAACATCCCAGGTATGATAAAACTTGAAACACAAAATCATAAATTATAATTTAATAAATAATCATAAAAAATAATAATATAATAATAATAAATTTAATTCAATAATGTAATCAAACCAAAAAACACTGAAATTTGAAATAGAGCGCCAAGTTCGCACATCACTGAGCAAAGTCGCAAAATCATTTTCAGTGTCTGATGACGAATTTCCCCCACGAATCATTATCACTCAATTCTGCAAGTGGTTCTGATTTCCTATCGCTGTTCTCTAGCCGGTCTAAAAAACCGATTTTGACATAAAGGGACGCTTTTTGGACGCCATGGACCTTTCTAAGTTTCCAGGCAGAAAGAATAGTCAAAATGCAGGCAGGGCACAGGACAAAGCACTCGGGACAAAATGTATGTGAAATGGTTGATACAGGAATGTTTTGCTATGAAATAATCATTTAAAAAAAAAAGTAATTTTTTTTACATTTTCAAATTTGCCGCCGGATCCGGCGCCCGTACGTCCCGACGTCACAGGGACTGGAACACAGAAGCCGGATGCTGGCATTGGCCGGAGGAGATGGCCGGGGACGCTGCAGGGGACACATTGCGGGATCGAAGGACAAGGTAAGCGCTGTAGGGAATCCCTGTGCAACGCCGCATGGTAAGCCCGAGTGTAGCTTGGGGTTACCGCTTTTGGTACTGACATTTTACCCCGAACTACACTCGGGAACACCGCCAGGGAGGTTAAAGAGACCCCACCACCATCTTTAAAAAATTGCTCAACTTAACCTCTTGCTGCCCTAATGCATATGTATAGCAGCAAAGAAGTTGAGCTTTAGCCCCTGTTCACACCAATGCAATGTGTGATTTGACAATTCAAAAAGGCATGAAAAGTTGCACCCTATTTATGCCTATGGAACTGTTCAAATCTGTGCGACTCCGACTTATACAAAATTTTAAAAAGGTTCCTGCACTATTTTTTTGGTGATCTCAGATGTGACTTACACCGTGTAGTGGATTGTGATAGACAGTCCACGTTCTATGAGATGATCAGTAAAATGACAATTTTATAGTCTTGCTACTTTCTGCTTCTTGCTCTTTAAATTCCTTACTCTCTTAAGTAAACAATCAGATATAAGTTGACAGAACAATGATCATTAAGATGGCGCCTCATCCGGAGTCTCACTCTTGGTGACTCATTAGAAGAAAAGTATCTTTTAACGTAAACAACCCCCCATAAAAGGGAATGAGTCGTTTTGGGGACAATGATTGGAAGATATCAACACGGATGGAAGAACACACAGAAACCTAGTGGACTTTTCACCTAATCAATGTATATGCTTTGCCTGCATCATGAGACCTATAAATGTTACTGTTAGTTCCTCAATAAAACAGAATTTTAGGAAGTTGGCAAACTGCGAAGTGTCAGTGTCTTACTTCCACGTGCACATAATTCTATATCAATTTGGCTCACTGGTAGATCACAGTAAATGGTCTGTAGTGACCCAGTCCTAAACAATCGACATCTGTACATGACGTTGCACAGATATGCGGCAAGCTGCACATTGGCCGGCAACTTTGAAAATGTGCTACTTGTGCTGAAGTCACGCAATTTTAAAAGCTGCATTCAGTGTGAACCAGGGCTTAATGCCCCCAAGCCAAACATATGCATTCATGGACGGGCCGAGGATTCTGTCCTGAGAAAAAGTACCACTGTACACTCCCAGCACAGTGATTACCTTGTCATAGACAGCATTTGGTCGCTAGTCATCATGGTTGGGAGCCGACAGGGAGAGCTCTCAATCATGTGACCACTGTGAGCCAATCACAGTGGTCACACGATCAGGTATTCTGTTCTGCTCACCCCAGGCGTGAAGACCCTTTTAAAAGGGATGGAGTTAAACGCTTTCTTGCAGTGTTTTTTCTTTCCCATAAACAATTTTTTTAATTGAATTGTGCCTCTGAATTTGCTAGGAAATTGACACCCCAGGAAGACCCCTCTCTATTTGAAAATTATAGTTCTCTTCTCAAGTCGGAGCTCTAATTACTGTGCTGGCCCAGCTACCCTCACCTCCCTTTATGCTCTTTTATAAAACAGCCAGGGGAGAAGCAAAGTAAAATACTACAGAGTGTAGCTTGAATGACAGCTGCTGTCACATTCCAGATGGGGAACCCCCTCCTCTCCCCCCCCCCCACCCTATGTCCGCTGCACTACTAAAACTTATATTTCATATGGAGATATGCCTAGCTACAGGGGCGGACTGACCATTTGGAAACTTGGGCAGTGCCTGAGGGCCCGGGTCAGTAGGGGGCCCCATGAGATGCCCCTGGTTCTCTATTTGAAAATTATAGTTCTCTGCTCAAGTCGGAGGTCTAATTACTGTGCTGGCCCAGCTACCCTCACCTCCCTTTATGCTCTTTTATAAAACAGTCAGGGGAGAACCCTATGTCCGCTGCACTACTAAAACTTATATTTCATATGGAGAAATGCCTAGCTACAGGGGCGGACTGACCATTTGGAAACTCGGCCACTGCCCGAGGGCCCGGGTCAGTAGGGGGCCCCATGAGATGCTCCTGGTTCTCTATTTGAAAATTATAGTTCTCTACTCAAGTCGGAGGTCTAATTACTGTGCTGGCCCAGCTACCCTCACCTCCCTTTATGCTCTTTTATAAAACAGCCAGGGGAGAAGCAAAGTAAAATACTACAGAGAGTAGCTTGAATGACAGCTGTTGTCACATGCAAGATGGGGAGCCCCCCTCCTCGCCCCCCCCCCCACCCTATGTCCACTGCAATACTAAAACTTATATTTCATATGGAGAAATGCCTACTTGCAGGGGCGGACTGACCATTTGGAAACTCAGGCACTGCCCGAGGGCCCGGGTCAGTAGGGGGCCCCATGAGATGCCCCTGGTTCCTTTTTCATAGGCTTTTTTGCGTTTGGGCAAGGACACAGGGGCCCCATGATCCCCTAATGCCCGGGGGCCCCATCAGTTGTCAGTCCGCCCCTGCCTAGCTGGTAATAGTGATGGAAGTTTAACATTTTTTTCCACTGTTGATTACTCAACACAGTGAAAAAAAAATTTAAAGAAAAACCTGTGTTGCCCAATCCCTCTGCACCATGGCTACATATAAGCCCCACCCCTTGTAAGATAAACAGACTTCAGTGTGAGATTTGCAGTATAATATGCAGCACTATAGGAACATCCTGAATAAAAAAGAATTGAACATAGTTCCCCCAGATACTTTAGTTTTTTATTTTTATTTCAGGTAATTATATTTATGCAGCGCTTTACATACTGTATATATTGTACATTCACATCAGTCCCTAACCCTCAAAGGGTGTACAATCTAAAGTCCCTAACTCACATTCATACATATACTAGGGACAATTTAGACAGGAACCAATTAACCTACCAGCATGTCTTTGGAGTGTGGGAGGAAACCGGTGTACCCGGAGGAAACCCATGCAAGCACAGGGAGAACATGCAAACTCCATGCAGGAGGCACCATGGTCAGGAATCAAATCCATGACCCATTTACTGCAAGGCAGACATGCTAACCACTAAGCCACGTCTTCCAAATACACACTAGTGACCCCCAGTCCTTTAAAGTATATGGTCTGGAGGTTATCCCACAAAATATCTTATACGAGAAGAGATTTAAGAAATGATGTGAATCAAAAACCTTTTGAAATTTTAATTTGAATGGTTTGACACCCAATGAGGCTCTTCTATAGTATTCATGGTATATTGAATCAGGTTACAGTGTGTCTGGTAATGAAGTTCAAGAGTGTGTTCCCCTGCCATCTTGTGGTTGTATTTAGGTATCACACCCCTGATGGTGCACACCAGTGGTCTCCAAACTGCAGCCCCCTGGAGCAATTTTCCTCCCACTGATACAAGATGCTATTCCTCCCACTGATACCAACAATGGGGCATAATTACAGCTACAACCATCAGCAACTATTAATCTCAATGACACCAATGACGAGGCACTTTTCCTCCCACTGACACTAATCATTTATTTATTATTTATTTATTACAGGTACTTATATAGCGCCGTCAATTTTACGCAGTGCTTTACATATATATACATTGTACATTCACATCAGTCCCTAACCCTGCATTCACTATATCTGGTCCTCCCGGACCCTGCATTCGCTATTTCTGGTCTTCCCGGACCCTGCATTCACTATATCTGGTCTTCCCGGACCCTGCATTCACTATATCAGGTCTTCCTGGGCCCTGAATTCACTATATCTACTCTCCCCGAACCCTGCATTCACACTATATTCGCCCTTCACGGACCCTGCATTCACTATATCTGGTCTCCCCGGACCCTGCATTCACTATATCAGGTCTTCCTGGGCCCTGAATTCACTATATCTACTCTCCCCGAACCCTGCATTCACTATATTCGCCCTTCACGGACCCTGCATTCACTATATCTGGTCCCCCCCGGATCCTGCATTCGCTATATCTGGTCTTCCCGGACCCTGCATTCACTATAGCTGGTCTTCCCGGACCCTGCATTCACTATTTCAGGTCTTCCTGGACCCTGCATTCACTATATCTACTCTCCCCGAACCCTGCATTCACTATATTCGCCCTTCCCGGACCCTGCATTCACTATACCTGCTCTCCCCGGTCCCTGCATTCACAATATCCGCTCTCCTAGGACCCTGCATTCACTATATCTGGTCTTCCCGGACCCTGCATTCACTATATCTGCTCTCCCCGAACCGTGCATTCACTATATTCGCCCTCCCTGGACCCTGAATTCACTATATCTGGTCTCCCCAGACCCTGCATTCACTATATCCGGTCTCCCTGGACCCTGCATTCACCATATCTGGTCTCCCCGGACCCTGCATTCACTATATCTGGTCTCCCGGACCCTGCATTCACTATATCTGGTCTCCCCGGACCCTGCATTCACTATATCCCGTGTCCCCAGATTCTGCATGCACTATATCTGGTCTCCCCGGACCCTGCATGCACTATATCTGGTCTCCCCGGACCCTGCATTCACCATATTTGGTCTCCCACAGTACGCACAACATGAAAATGACATTATTTTAGTAAATATAAACTGCTAAATACCTTTTCTCATCAGCAGTATACAGCAGTCTTGTGACTTCTAATAGTGTCCAGCAGAGCACTGGTTAAAGCTTGTAGGAGAAGTGAGAAGTTTTTTCTGACCTCTGTCTGGACAGCGTTGATTGGCCCTGTGCTGATCACATGCACTCTCCCAAGAAAAAAAAAACCTCTCTAGCAGTACACACCAAACTGAGTATGTGCAGAGTGACTCCACACAATATGTCTTATCAGGAGATAAACGAGGGGACACAGGAAGAAGGGGAGGATCAGAGAAGACAGGATCAAACAGCCTTTTTTACACAATGCAGAGGATTAAACCCTTAGGTTCCACAGTGAGTATAACAAGCATGCTTTACTGCATATACAGACTGATTGTACTGCTGTGGGTTTAGGAACACTTTAAAAAGAAATTAATCCCAAAAACAAACATCTATGCTTACAAATTCTTAGATGTGGTGTGTGCATTTTCACCTGGCGATCTGGCCAGTAAGTCAGATCTGCTCAAGATCTGAGCTGCTCTATTGGTTAAGGAAGCCACCCATTACAATATTGCAACAGCAGATAGATTTGAGAGGGGGTGGGGCCTAGAGATGGGAAGGCCTAGAAAAAATTGAAAATTTGGAGGGAAACATTTTTTTCCCCAAAGCTGTATTTTGGTTTTTTTTTCCAGAAAATGTGAAAAAAAGGAGTATAGAATACCTTCTTTTACATTGATAAATAATATATCTATGACATTTTATTTATTTATTTCAGGTCTTGTATAGCGCCATCAATTTACGCAGCGCTTTACATATATATTGTACATTTACATCAGTCACAGAATTGAAACTATATAACATGAAGACCTTAAAGTGGTTGTAAATAGAGATGAGCGAATTATTTCAAAAATTCGATTCGGCTGATTCGCCGAATTTGAGGAAGAAATTTGATTCGATGCGAATTAATTCTCTACGAATTTAACTTATTAAAAGGGTTTCTAGGCTTCAGAGAGCCTTTAAATTAGTGCAGAACACTGTACCTTTATTAATTTAAATGCCCTTGGAGAAGAGGAAGGACAAGGAGAAGGAAAGAGAAGAAGGAAAGGGGAAGGGGTGAAAGAAGGAGAAGGATGAGAAGAAAAGGGGAAGGGGAAGGATGAGAAAAAAGGAGAAGGATGAAAAAGGGTGATAAGAAGGAAAGGGTGAGAAGAAGAAGGGAAAGAAAGAAGAAGAAGGGGTGAGAAGAAGGAAAGGGTGAGAAAAAGGTTGGGAAAAAAGGA